CCCACATACCGATGGGGGGTCCCGAGGGCACCATGGCCCCCAAAGCAGGATCCCCCCCACCCCACATACCGATGGGGGGTCCCGAGGGCACCATGCATTTCTTCTCAGCCTTGACAGCAGGTGGGGCTGTCTGCAGCTTGGCCGTGGCCTGGTCGATGATCCACTGCACGGTGCCCTCGTCCAGGTGCGGGAAGGGCTTCTGGTGCAGGCGCAGGTGGCAGCCCTCGGTGGGCTTCTGCACCTTGTGCATGGTCACTGCAGGGTACGGGTTCTCCTGCGTGGGGACAGCTCCTGCTCAGCCCTGAGGTCACCCACAGCGTGTCCCCTCCCGGACAGCAGCCCCCTGCTCTGCTCCCAGCTGGAAGCTGCAGGACCCAGGATCTGCTCCCCCAGCCCCCAGGGATGCACAGCTGTGGCACGGCCATGAGCCAAGTGCCAGCAGGAGCTCCAGCCCAGCCAGCCGAGGCTCCTGCCTTCAGGTGCTGCTGGAAACCTCCAGCTGGGCCAGGGAGGCTCAGGTTGGATATCAGCAGGAATTTCCTCCTGGAAAGGGCGCTCAGGCCTTGGAAGGGGCTGCCCAGTCCCCATCCCTGGAGGTGTCAAAGGAATTCCCAGAGGTGGCACTCAGGGCTCTGGGCTGGGGACAAGGTGGGCACTGGGCACAGCTTGGACTGCATAGCCCTGGGGGTCTTTTCCAACCTCTGTGATTCTGGGAGTCTATGATCCTATAAAATCAGGACCACTGGGCACATCAGGATGTGCCTGACCACCCATGACAGCACAAGGAGGGACAGGAACTATTACCAGGAGCTTATGGAGGGAGGACAGAGCGACCAGGACTGCACCCAGGCTCTCCCTGCCCCGTATCCCCCAGCACATCCCCACTCCTGCCCGGGGGCTCCAGGACTCACATTTTTGTAGAGTTTCTCTGCCAGCTCCTTGATGTGCCTCAGGATTTTCTGTTTGTTCCCCTCCTCTGCCTTCATGCGCTTCACCTCGTAGGCCACGAGCTGGGGAGGACAGGACAGGAATGGGGTGACAGGGGCAGCTCCAGGGCCTCTCCCAAACCTGGGGCCACACAGATCCTGCTCAGGCCATGGCAGGTCCTGCTCAGGGCCAACAGATCCTGCTCAGACCCCACAGATCCCACTCAGGCCCCACAGATCCCACTCAGGCCCTGCAAATCCCACTCAGGCCCTGCAGATCCCGCTCAGGCCCCGTGGATCCTGCTCAGATCCCACCCAGGTCCCACAGATCCCCCTCAGCCCTCACAGATCCCACTCAGGCCCCACAGATCCCACTCAGGCCCCACAGATCCCACTCAGGCCATGGCAGATCCTGCTCAGACACCGCAGATCTCACTCAGGCCACACATGTCCTGCACAGGCCCTGCAGACCCCGCTCAGCCCCACAGATCCCGCTCAGCCCCCACAGATCCCGCTCA